TCTTCAAACAAGCTGGGAAGTTACTAGTCACTTTAGACTCTGTTTAAATGAATATTTGTATCCAAATAACTGAATTTACTAACATTGAAAGACTAAAGTTGTCATCAATAACTTATGCTGAGAATAATCTCTCAAACAGCAATGCTCTCATAGGTTGTGTAAATTTAGAAAGGAGGTAGGAGAGACAAGTATAACGACCAAATAAAGCAGGATTTATTTGTGCTGTAACGGGTACAGAAAGAAAGAAAGAAACTGAATTTTCTTCAGCTTGTCATCTGCAACACAGCAGGCTTTGACTATTCTTGCCCTTGGAAAGAACAGCTGCCTTCAAGAAGGGAACTGTTCAAGAATGGATGAGTTGGATTTATGCCAAAGCATTCTCTAATTATGCAGACCATTATGCATCACGAGCGCATCCTTCCACATGTGCAAAACCACAGTGACTTCAGTTATACATTGAACAGATTGTTCAGCTAGTCTTCAGTAATAACATTATTTAGCTGCTAATGAATTTAAGGTAAAAAAAGAATTAAAAAATTCTCCAATTTCTGTGCAACATTCCATCAAAAATTGCAAGAAATAATGATACATACTGCATGGGAACAGGGATAGGTGCAGCAGTAAGATCAGGCTGTCTTTTTTATCGAAGATAAAGCTACAGATAGACCTACATCATGGGCCCAGGCTCAGTCACTGTGTAGCGTCCAAGCTACATTACTTTCACATAGATCATCTATCTTAGCCGTTTCCTTCAGACAGCTATCCTCATATCTTCAGAATACTGATTTATATTTATTTTCAACCCATTATTGAAAGTACTGCATGTGTTTCCAACCAAGCCTTTGGGTTTTCTGTAAGGGCTTCTGTCCTGGTAGGATTTTCCTATTCAACCCTTGGAAAGCAGAGATCTCTCCTTATAACGAGTGCCCTGTGTCTTCCATCTTGAAGATTACACCAGGAACAGGGCTTGCTGTAAACCACAACAGATTCTGTACACATCTGAATCCTGTAGGCTTTAATTTTACCCTTGTATCTCAATTATTGTGGTAAGTTTAATATAGCAGAAGCTGGCTTTACAGCAGTTTTGTTACATGGGAGAACGGTGTCCCCAGAGAACAGAAGCTAATTTACTTGATGCTTAAAAAGTAAACTCGAGAAGGCACTTAGCATTATCCGTAAATGTCAAGTCTACATGAGAAAGTCAGGTGGATAACCTGCTAAGCTTTCCCATCCCTCTTACGAACCACAAGTAGTAAAGCAGGATGTGCAAGCCATATGCTCTCTGCATTAAGACCACAGAGTTTTGCATACACAAGGACAGGCTGGGAGATCTTTGTTCTCTAGATGCTCTTAAAGCTTCTTCATTTATTTATAGGAGAAAAGAAACACAACTTGTGCATTTACATCACATATCTGCATGTTTTCAAGTAAGGCCTAAGGGCAAGGGCTTTCATTTCAGCCAGCATATAAAAGCTTATTCTTTTGTGGTTATATTTCTGAAGGTTGATTTTGTAAAATGGAGCTTCCTGAATTTCAAAGACTGGATTATGGTAGAAATATTTTTAAAGGTCTAATTAAAATGAAAGATAAAGGTCAACTAGGTACAAGCAGCCTTGTTTTATGTGGCAGATTTTAAACCGTAATGTGATGCCATCAAGCAAAGATAAAAATTAGGTACTGCTATGAATCCAAGCCAACTCCATTATGCTGCTTCATCACTGGAGGTTAAAAAACCCCATAGCAGACGTGGCAAATTATGTATTGCTACCTCAAGAATTGGAGCAGGGAAATCATGCCTAACCATGCTGGTTTTGAACACACCCTGAAGACGTACAACAGTACAGAAACAAACTGTAACTTAAATTCTTCTGAGCTTCAGGAAATACCTTCACAGGCCATACTTTTATCTCTACAATATTCCCTTTCACATTTACTAACACTCTTTTGCTATTCCTTCCCTTGTTCACTTCTCTATTCAATCTTCTAGTCACTGGTCCCTTCCCTTTCATTTTATTGCATGTGCTCTTTCAAAAATGCAGCAATTTATAAAAGTATTACCTCTTCACTGCCCTCTTTTCCCAGTGCTTTTTGAACCTAATTAGGAGTCTCATATGAAGAAAGATTCTAAGAGGAAGTGAAAAAATGTTGCATAACTGACAAGGATGACAAGTTAATGGCCATATTTCTGTTACAGGTCTATGACTGAAGTTTAACTCTCCTAAATTAGTAGGTCGGTTCACCAGTAAGTCCCTCAATCACAAAACCTGGAAGAGAGGAAAAAGCTGATTTACACTTGAAGGTGTGTGAAGATGGCACTGAAAATAGCTTTCAGAATTGTTTAACATACTTTATAATTTCTAATCTTTTGAATTTCAGATTGGTCACTAAATTTAGGGAAATTTACTGCAGCTATAGTAAAGAATGTATCTAGCGATTTGACTGCATCCTATTCACAAATGAAGAATAAAATATATAGTTGAATCCTTACCAAACATATGGAGTCCACTGACTTCAATTAATTTGGCCCATGAACACAAGCTACAGCTTTAAAAAGCCAGCTGTGTTATTTCATTCTGCAAGCCTGCAAATAAAATCTGAATTTTAATGGATGAGTTTTAGGAAGCCTAACGCTTACTCCTTGATTCCATCTAGTGCTGCATCACCATCGTAGTAGGGATTGACTTTATGTTCTCATGCACTCTCACAAAACATGACTGTAGAGCTCACACTAGCAAGAGAGAAAGGTCAAAGATTTTGGTCTGCATAAATTTTTTGTACAGTGCCTGGTTTAGCTGCAGCTACGCATAGTAAGTCAGAAGTATTATCTTAATTCCAAACCAAAGGGGAGCACTTCTTAGGAATAACAGCAACCAGGAATACCTGGATCCAGAGAAGACAAAAGGTTAATAGCATAAACAATGAAAAAACCACTTCCTCGATATTGACCAAACAGGCAACACATCTAACACAGAAATTGAAGTTAGATTCTAGGCCTTAGCTGTTGTCACTTTCTCTCAATTATCTTATAGTAAATCCGTAACTTCTGTACGTGTTTTGTATGGTAGTCTTCTAACAGAAGAATCTGCTTTTGTATATAGTACAGGAGCCAGTTCAACATTAACTACTAGAGCAAACACCATTATTCAGTGGCCTCTCCTGACATTGGGTATGCCTCGCAATCTCTAACTCTTATGGGTAGTCAGAATGGGAATAAGCATCTAGCCAACATTAAGGGATTTAAAGCCATAAGGTTTTGTTTAATTTCAAGATCTTATTCAAGCAGAACTTCTGCTATGGTTTTCCTCCTCATCAGCCACCCTATTTTACTTTGTGAAATTTGGATCAATCAGTTGCACGATACCAATTGGATATGAGAGGACAACCGCGATTTCCAGCGTCTCTGATCAAAAACCAACACTGGACTGAGTATCGTATGCCATGTCTAGACAGATGAGAGGAGAAACCATAAAAAAGAAAGTGATAAGGAAAGGCACTAAAACCACTTGTAGCTGTACTTGTAAGAAAGTGAACTTGCAGCTGCGTTTCTTAACATGACAGGAAATCGGTCTGTTTATCAAATTCAAAATGCAAGCCTACTTACAGCAATACAAAGGATAGCCAAAAGCTGTTTCAAGTGACAGATGCTGTTCTCAACTGTCCTTCAAGCAGGCATGCTGCATTTTCTTTAGTGAACAAATGCAATTTGGTTTTGCCCCCAGTATGAAGTAAGGAGTTTGAGTTTCTTCTCCAGAAAATATTAACCCCAAATAAAATCTGAACTTACCCTTCTAGCAGGCTACTAGAGCTCTAGAAATAAAAGACAACATTGGAAGATTTTAGGAGGTGCTGAAACATTTGTTTTGAAGTTTTATTACAAAAATATATTTGCAAACATACAAAATTTTGGATGAAAAAAATGCTCATTCTTAAACATTTATGCAATAACTTAATAACTGCAAACATATATAGGTGCTATAAAATCCATACCATACCAAAAACGTTAATGATGCAGTATCTACATTTATTGACTTACAATTATTCTCATTCCGGTTTCCAGAAATCTTTCCTGAAGCCCCCCTTCCCCATGGTCTTCATATTGAAAGAACATGCAAATGGGTACAACTGGTGCATCCACAGAAATGACAGAAATTACTAAAAGCACGTAATGTACATAAAAAAACCTAACTAACCATATGCCCATACACTGAATAGATCAAAATAAATACACCACCAAATTAGATACTGCAAATTTTCCAACTTGAAGTGAAAGGAAGATATTGCATCTTAACATTTTCGTAACATTGCCAGACAAAACTGAGGTGATATATATTGCACACATTCCTCCTATTAAGATATGCTGTACAAAGCAACCCAAATACCTGGCAAAAAGGTGGCTGACTTGTTTAGAATACTTTTAAAAACAAGAAGTCCCAAATTAAAGTTTGTTTTCAAAAATATTTCAGAAATTACATCAGTGACTACACATGGCATAATGGGTTTCAGAAATATACCAAAATGAAGCAACTAGAAATGCAAGCAAAAATGAGATGCATCCAGCAGCGAGTGTTTAAATATTATATTGAGTATTCATACACAGAATTAAACATTTTATATGAAATCAAGATGGATCACTTAATTTTTTTTTACCGTTACTCAATCATTCTGCAAATCTTGTTTAATTTGGAAGAACACACTGCTTCTAAGTTAATAGCTGTTAGGCACCTTTCATATAAACTTTGCATTGTTAAATAACAGCAGATAAAGTGTAACTACAAAACTGAGAATTCTGATTTTCCTGAACAGTTCAGCAGCTGTAGGTTTTTAAACTGTCTTTGATTAGGTTTGAGTTTGGTTTTTTTTTTTTTTTTTAAAGTGACTTAACACTAGCCACAAAAGACATGCTTAGATAATACAATTAATTTGGGGAGTATAGTCTAAGCTAATAATCTTTTAATTCTCAGAACTAATAGGTAAAATCCCATTAAGCCAGTAGTTTTTTAAAAAAAAAAAAAAAAAATCACTTGAAAATGGTCACAATAGTTTCCTGTGATGACCCATGGTAACTTGCTACATGTGGATAACAGAAACTGGGCACTTCAACAAGCTGGTAGTTTTAGATTAATACAAAAAGTTAAAATACAGAGGGAAAAAAAGTTGTTAAATAACAGAGTCCACATTTAAAAAAAAATTTCAAATTTTACACTGTAGTTGAGCTTGTGTTTTAGAATGCAACTTTTGATTAAAGAGATTTATCTGTTAAACCCACTACACTGGCACTTGTCATAAATCCCTATGGTGCACTGGATGACACCTAGGTTGGTTCCAGTGTCTGCTGGCTACACATCGAGAGGTTAGAACAAACATGTACAGGTGTTCAAGATGAATGGGTTTGCTTGATGTAAAAATGCCTGCCTAGTAACTATGATTTCAACTCTGTTTTCTCTTTCATTTTGAAAGTTGGGGCAGGGGGTGGGTGGGTAAAGCAGTAATGCAATTTCTACTAGTACACTACAAAACCAAAGTAAAGTAAGGATCTGCCAACTGCTTGTGGGGGCTCCTGGACAGCTGCAAAGAAGTTAAGGATAGTCAAAGTAGAGTCAAACTCTCATAACAGCACTGCTACTCTAAACAGAATGACTTTTGTCAACTGTATATGACCGAAGAACTCAAAACCACAACTCCTTCCTATAATTTCTATAGATCTTTGGATATGACTGTATTCGGCAAACAGTACAAACATACACAACCAGCTTCTAGTATTTCTATTCTTAGAAACTTTTATCAAATCTTCCTTTGAAGAAACTGGAAACTGTCCATAAGAAGTGAGAAGTTATGGACTTCATCTTTGCTAAATCCAGATAAAAAGCAACTCTGCATTTGGTTTAGCCTATACATTTTTGTTCAGAGGAACTGCTCATTGGTTTGTCCCTTTAGTGAAACCTTTTCTAAAAAAAACCCAACAACAGAAATTAGTTTAGACCTTAGATCCAATTTGAGTCTCATTGTTTATGCGCATACACAGAGTATTATAACTCTAGAATTTATGTAGGAAGCTCCTATCTTCCTTAACAAGGCTGAGTTTATATTGCTGAATTCAAAATGCTACCATTAAAGCCAATATATTTTCTTGATGAATGTGCATGACATTAGCATCTTTCCCTGAATCTGGCACATTTTTCTAACAAAATACTATATATTTTAACTGGAAACACTGAAAACTCAAAGGCTGAGAACAACTTTTCAGAAGGCAGATAGTGCTAAACAAAATACATTTTCCACTAAAAAGCTATGAAAAAACCTAAAATAGATCAAGTACATAAAAATGTAAATATTTGTTGTATCTAAAACATACCCATTTGTGAACAAATCACAATTAAAGCTCAATTACTAGTTTCCAATGAAATGACCATGCACCTTGACTATGTCAACATTAACTAATCCTTAGGATATATACACATACATATACGTTGTGAGGAGCCAAACAGTTTTTTTTCATATTGCAATAGTGCTTGAGGGAAAAGAAAGCAGCAGTGCATCATAACTCACTAAAGATTATCTCTTTACTCAATAAACCAAAACTTTTCTACTGGAAAAGTATCCTTTAAAACTACTGTTGCTGGAGAAAGTTGGGACCTGAAGTCTTATTAATTACCTTTGCATGCCTTTCAGAAATAAATACAAGCCATGGGTAAACCAACACAGCAGCTTAAGGAACTATAATTAGAAATTTTCTGATTTCAAATGGGAAAGTATCCAGTTAAGTTCTTATATTAGTGAACAGCGAATTACTAAATCACATATAAGAAGCAATAACGTTTTAATTAGATAAACTACAGACTATGAAGTGTGCACTAACAATCTGGGGAGAGGGCAACAGAATAAAGGCATGCATTTGTTCCCCATCTGCATAGTTTTCAACACTGCACTTCCAATGCAACTGAGGAATGAAAGCCAACTATGACATGGTCCATCTTTAAGCTAGAAGGGAAAGAAAGTATTTAAATTATATCAAACACTGCTGAATAGGAAGAGTCTTCCAGTGGTGGTCTCCTTACTATACATTTAAAACAAGAGAACTTCAAAAAAAAAAACCTTAACTTAAAAAAAAAAAAAAAAAAGATAATCAGCAAGGATTTTGCATATTTCAAATTTTGTGTTTTTAGAGAAAATGGCCTTACTCACTTGGATACCTGTTTAATGTCAGTGACGCAGAAGCAAATATGATTAATGGAATATTTAAAAAGTGAATATATGTGCATTAGCTAGAGACTGTCAACGTATTGAGCAAATCACATTTTTAAACCCTTTGTTAAAGATTTAGCTCCAAAGGCCTGGCTTCCAGATCCATTCCTTCCCCACTTCTGCCAACTTAACCACAAGGCATTTTGCTCTCCTTTTCCTCAGTCCCTCAAACTGGAACTAGGTTCCCACAACTGAAGTTTGTTCTGGTGTGGTGTAGTGTACTGTACTATGTATATGCTGGTTTAAATAGTATTGAGTCTGTAATACTTGGACAGTGAATACAGCTAGGAATGAAAGCCAGAGCAAACATTTGCACATTCACTTAATGCTAATGAGAGCTCAAATGCAACTCAAGTCCCCTCCCCAATAAAAACAAAGGTTTGCTGGTGATGATCACAGTGAAAACCTAGATCGCTTCTGAGAACATTACTTTCTTAAGTATCTAAGGAATAGTCTTTCCTAACAGGTTCAAATTCAAGAAGTTGAAAACTAAATATTCTTTTACAAAAATATTAGTTTTATAGATGAGGCATAATTGTTTCTAAAATGGATATATTTTAAGTAGATTTAGCTTCGATTATAGCTTAATGTTGTCTGTATTCTTGGTTAGGACTTGCAAGTAGACTTCATGAATAGTGCTGAGAAAATGGGAATCATTCTGCAGGAAAAAAAAACACACATTAGAAACATTAGTAAAAGATGCAAAAAAAAGTTAAATTAAACGCCATTTAAGTTGTGCATAAGGGTTCCTTATAGTGCTAGCTATCTGAGAGTTAAGAGAGGGGAAATAGTGGCATACTTGTACAAAAGGCTTTTTGGACAACAAGAGGGGAAATAGTGGCATACTTGTACAAAAGGCAATGCTTTTTGGACAACGTAGAGACTTTGAACCATGAAGCTGGTAAGACAGCTGAAGGGATCACTAAGCACACTGGATGCTCAGACAAACCAACCAGGGGTCACTAGGTCAGCCTTGGCCACATAATTTACCTCCCTTCAGAGTCCAAAACTTAGTCTTAGACACAGAGAATTCCATCCTGCATACAGGCTCCCCAATAAAGTCGACATGAGTGTCAGAAATAATGTTATTTCTGTCTGTCAGACCAGCCTGAAAAGGATTGCAGTGTGTTACACAAGAATTCTCATGTCAAAGCATTACTGGGAAGTGAATTAGTTTAATCTATGGACAATATTTAGAGATATTTCCTCAGTCTAATTCCTTCAAATGACAAGTTTACAAAACTGGTTTCTAATCTTCTAGCTTGAAAATGCAATATTCTTTTTACAAAATCTGCATAGCAAATTTGGTGTCCTGCTTGGAGTGCTGTGCAAGTACTCCCATGCTTCAGGGTATGTCTATTTTGGTCTTCATTCAGCTATCTCTCTCTAAAGAGAAGATTAGAGACAAATATTCCAGTCAGCTCTCTAAAGTCACCACAATGATATTGTTTAGACTACTGGGTGAGAATCAATGCGCTATGTCTCTAATGAGAGTAAGACTTCTGGTAGTTGCAAGACTTACAAGTAAGCTAGTGTAAGTCTTTAAAGAGGAAAAAAACCCCATATACACCAATACACAAAATCCTTATGCAAAAAGGGACACCACAGATAAATCAGGCAACCTAGCTGATGATGTGATCTGGTAATGGCCCTGTTTGGTCCTAATAACTTCATCACTGGGAATATACTGTTTGCTATTTTTAGACTTGCATTCTGAGGGTAAGCTCTACTTAACATAGTGTGGATGGGGCAAGAGAATCCTGAGTTAAAGAATGGTTTGTCATTCGTGGCAACTCCATCATGATATTAGAGGTCAAAATGATCTCACTGCATGGCTACTCCCAACACTACAGATTTAATTCAGCTGAACTTTTTAGTCCCTAGAAATAGCAGGACTTTCCAATTCCCATTTCAAAGATACATACTACAGTTAAAGATCAGGAACAGCTCTAGGAAACTGAGAAAAAGCTTTCCTTAGAAAAGCAGGAACACACTTACAAAGACAAGAAACCCAACCCTCCCATACCAGGACTTCTACTAGCGCAACTTTTTCCTCACTTGTCCACAAAATCATATGGATGTGAAAGAACACATCCGATATACAGCTCTGTCCTAAGTCCTCCATCTCGCAACCAAAAGGAGCACACTGTGACATACTATGTGTACAGTGTGGAGTAACTTATCCCTTCCAACAGAAAAGAACAACTTTTCTAACATTTCAGGGCAAAAGTAGTATAGGGGTACAGAATTTCTCAGTACTGGCTACTGTATTTGGGAACCCATCCCTCAGAAATTGAGCTCTGTAAAGACAGGACCTTTATTAGATGTATCAGTGCTTCCTGAAGCTGAGACCTACTGAGAACAGTAGGAGGTATAGTCTGAATTTCTGTTGTTCCAAGTGTTAAAGGCGAAGAAGAATTGGCTTTATTCTCCACTTCAGTAGCTTTTGTAGCTGATTGTTGAAAAACACTAGGAGACAAGAGGATTGAAGGTGTTACTGTAGTTGTGGCTGTGACAAACTGCGGAGGCGCAACCTGTAAAAGAACAGAAAATTAATAAGCATTGTGTCCAGCAAGAATGAATACTGTTATAAAAGCTGGAGAGACGAGCATAAAAACAAAAATAAGTTGTAGCCACTATTATTCAGTCTGATATTACGGAATAGCTGCTCTTAATGAAGAAATATCTACCTATAAAGATTAATATCAATAGTAATTCTCATTTTAAAAGCTGAAGAAGGTAACAGTCTTCGATATTCTTCTATGCAGACTCCTTCCTCATGTGGTTGGGACCTTCCAGAATTTTTGAAACATAACATATAGAATAAAAGATGAGCTTTTCACCTAGGTAATTGAAGGAGCCTGTAGTTGTTTTGCAATTTATTACTTTCCTTAGGAGTTTACAGAAAGGCTAGTCCTGCTTCCTGTCTCCCTGCCTCTATCGTGTCCAACAAATACACTTACAATTTGAAGTGAAGTATCTCAAAGATATTTAAAATGACTGATGAACTATTATTAAAACACTGGAGTACACTGAAATATTCTCATTCTAAGTACATTTTCCCTTAGGGGGAGGGAGGGAAGGATGGGAATATTTTGAGGACCATCTGCCCACCTCATTCTTTCACAGGTCTGTGTCCATTTCATTACAGAAATCCACACACTGCCTTTACCACTTTTCCTTTTAAACCTAAGTTGCAAATGTATAGGAATATTGTATTTGCATGAAGTGGACATGAATAAACATCAGCTTTGAGCAACTCTGACATCTCCTGATAACTGCAATTATTATTCAGTATGATAATCTACATCTTGCTCAGGCTTCCAGAATGACCAACATGGTAAGAAAAAAAAAAAAAAAAAAAAAAAAAAAAAAAAAAAAAAAGCCAATCTCACTCAGAAGAAAGCAAGACTGAATGTTGATACGTAAAGATGTTTGATAGATCAGCAGATAAAAAAAAGTCTTCAGAAGAAAAAAAAAACCACAAAGCCATCTGAAGTTAATGAGTATGTAACAACATCAACAACAGTAGAACTAGCAAACTGATTTTGTTATAGTCAAAACTGAAGACTTACACCATGGGATTTCAGCTGAAGACAAAATGTTTAAACCAACAAATGCAGTTTACCACACAACATGTACATGTTTCAAAAAATTCCAAGAATCAACGTAAAATGCTTTTCTTTAGATAATTATTTACCAACTGTGTCATGAACAGACTGTATAGCTTGTCTTATGGCAGGCCAGTAGCTAAACCAGCATTTTACTTCAAGCAGGACCATTTTTACTGCCTTCACAATCAGATCTGGGCATACTACTAAAACTGCTTTTGTGTAATGCAAGTTAAACAAGAGTGAGGCAATTTAACATATTTGAAAAAGGAGGGGGTGGGTAAAGGAAAAGTAGAATTAAGTTACAGATGGTATCCTGAAAAGAATACATAACAAGAAGGTAATTAAAAACAATTCTTGAAGATTGACTAATACCAGGGTTTTTTTAACTGCAACCTGAAATTTTATATTGATGTTATTTTGAACTGTTATTCAGAGTCAGTTCTAGTAATGTTAAATCTGCACTTAGATCACTAAAACTTGCTATTAAAGTTTTGCAGTAACAAGTGCTTGTTATTATTTTCTTCGTCTACTATTTTTTTTTGCTTGGTATCTTTTTCATAAAACACAAGGTGTCTCAGGAAAACTGAATGAGACAGTAAGGCAAGGACCACATTCTATGCCTCTGGGGTGCTTATGGTTGGGCTAAGGCTAATGATACTGCAATATTGTAACATTAGTACTGCTGGCTTACAAGATAAAAAACCAGTTCAAATGGTGCAAACTCAATGCAAGATTGCAGATCCAAAAATGTATTCTCATTTCTGCATTAGCACCAACAATAAGAGGCACTGTACAACGAAAGTGTGCTCACTCATAGCAGTCTACAGGAACTCCCCCTTGCTTCAGTACAGCTTGTTTCTGCTTCATAACAGCACTTCAAATATGGTCACTGACTATTTGACATACCAACTGCTTACCACAGTTTTACCCTCTCACCCCCCCCCCCCTTTTTTTTTTATGAAAACCAACAAACAATTATCAGAGGTACTTATTCACTTACTTGACTTGCTTTAGACAAAGTCTTTGGCTGTGGAAATACTTCTGATTCCTTGTTCTGTTGTACAGTCTAAGTTAAAAAGAAAGCATAATTCACAAGTTAGCATCCACAGCTCAATTAACAGTGGTGGTTCTCTGTTTTGATGAAAGCACAAAAATTCAAATTTCAACAGATTTTAGATCTAATTTGATCCATTTTGTAAAACTAATATAATCAATGAGAAGTTGGAAAAAGAGGAAAGATCTGAACTTGTTTTATGCTTTCAGTATTATAGCAAACCTGTAAAGCCACAACAAAACACTTCTGAAGAAAGACCACTACAGTTTAAAAAAAACCCTAAAACCTAAACATTAAAACACTGAAACTGGGAACAAAACAAATGCTACAAAGTTAAGAAGAATTCAGGATCTTGTAATCAGTTTCGTAAATTGCCGGGAAGGTTAAATTCAGTATTTTTTTTCTAGAGTTTTATCTAATCACCTCCACAAAAATGAAATGCTGTTTTCTGCTAGAATTTCAGAAGTATTTTATACCTTTACAAACAGCATCCAGATATTTTAGTCAGATTTCAAGACCATAATATAATAAATTTCAAGTCTTATAAAATATTAGAAAACACAATAAAAGGCATGTAGATAAGGTACTTTCGTAAATTCCTGTGGCATTCTTCAAAAGGCTTGTTATAGCCATTTGGAATACCTCTTGCCAACACGGAACAGGAAAAGCCCTTTGCAGCAGACAGTACTTAGTTTACTTGAACTGCAATGAGAAACACTCAGGGAATTGATAGTCCTTGACGACAAAAATAAAATTAGCTTTATGAAATGCTAACAAGCACAAGACCAAATTCTTAAAGTCTAATCACACAAGAGTTAAGAAGTCCTTTGCTAGTTTAAGAGTATATTTGGACTATGGAGAATTTTGTGTAATGAAAATATCTACACACAGTGGACATGGTGGAGGGGAAAAAAAGGGTGTAAGTGGCATATGAAGAGCTAATTTCCAAGGTTATCAAGCAGATGTTGAATAAGCACAGTCAAGGGAAGTTATGGATAAACGCAGCCAGCTTTTTTAAATGTTCAAAGATGTCACAATCTTCAGTCAAATCTATACCAGCATATGTAAGAAAAATACTGCTCAGAATGTATGGTTCTTCAATATTAGATGCTGCATTTGGCCCTCTCCTCCCTCTGCAAAATCAATCAGCCCAAACATCTCAAAAAGGGTGATTGCTAGTAAAATAATCCTGGCACTTAGCAGTCACAGCCTTCTTGAAGATTTTCAACAACTGTAGTAGATTAGAAATAAGATAATCACAAAGACAGCACAATGAGAACACACACATTTCTTAAACATTAAGAAAGGAATAACTCTTCTGAGGACAGAAAAGCAACACTTGAAAAATACAGGGTATTCTAAAATAATGCTTAGGACAAGTTGCAGGCTGAAGAATTGAGGTCTTGATTAGGAGTGTGTTATGAGTAAGTCATCACCATACTCATTGAAAGATTAGGAGCTGGCCCAGACAGGGCTACCAAAGATCTTGTTAAAACCCAGTGGCAAGCACTGGATAATAATAAACATTAGGAAATTCATGCAGATGTAGCTGTAAGTAGTTTTGTTTGGTGTTTTTTATTCTTGCATTATTCACTGTACCTAAGATGCAAGAAGACACACTCAAACACTGGTTTAGTCTGCATGAATGTAAATAAAATAAAATAATAATGCAACAAAACAAAGATAAGTCTTTGGATAACCTCAGAGGTGGGCACTATAGAAAGTTAGTCCCTTTAAAGAAAAAAGAAATCCATTAATCCAAACTCATTAATGTCTTTACTACTGAGGTAGCCAATTACACAGTAGAGCAACACTAATTGATAGAAAATAATTTATAAGACAAAGCCACATGTATTAACCTTACAGACTCAAAACAAATTTACTGCCTGGGCTTATATTAAGACATAGACAATAGATTCTCTTCCAAGAAATAAAAAGTTTAAGAGGTCCTTTGTAAGCAATACTAGGATAAAACAAACCAAGGCAGTCAATTAGACAAAATAAATTAGTCTACAATCCATTTTACTAAATAACTAACAATATCTCAGCATAGCCCACACGTATCCCCAGCAGAAGGGGGTCAAAATTGAAGGAGTACAAAACATCCAAAACAAAATAACCAGAAACAGGAAATAGTTAATTTTGTATCTTCAAAGAAGGTAACAGGCTAGACTTCCACAGCATCAACTCTTGTAACACTGATGAGTCTGTAACCTTCTGTCCCTTCTCAGATCATCAGTTCTTAGCAGTATTTTTCTGACACAAGTACAGATGAATTCTTTAGGACTTACTCATCCCCTAACAGCACTGGCCTGAAAAATCTCCCCCTCTACAGACAGGTCTGTCACTGACAGCAGATGCTAATGATTTAAAACTAATGGAATTGGATTTCTCAGTTAGCAATTCAATCAGTATCACACTGTGGAAGTCCTCAATTATTTTTAAAAGGCTAATATATTAAGCAGCACATTTTTCCAAGGGAAAATACAGTCTAAAAATCAGTCTAAAGCTTCATGGATATAAAAACCCACAGAATACCTGAAGGGGAGAGATTATCTTGCTGTTCAAGGTTGATGGCTTACTGTGAGATTCTTTGAAGCTTTCTGGCGTTGCAAGTTGGCCAACCGAGGCAGAGATGTTTGGTGTTAAGGAAGTCTTAGTGAGAGACTGCTGTTGCATTTGGTCATGCTGTGGGGTCAACCTGAGTTTCTGGAGAAGATCAACACTTGTATGGGATGTATTTGAGACAGTTCCTGTACTTGTTGATGTCAAGGGTGCTATAAGCTGGCTTTGGCCAGCCATTAGATTTTGTGGAGCGTGGTTCACTTCAGATGGCGGCTGATTCACTAGTGGGGATATCTGCTTGGCAGCTTGCTGCATAACTTGCATTATACTGTTGTTTTGTTTTAGGCCAGGAAGCATCTGAGCAGGGGCAGCTTCCATTGTTGAGGCTGAATTAAGAATAGGGCTTAAACGAACTGAATAGCTTGAAACATTTTTTGTATCAGGCTGGGAAATTGAAGCTGGAGGTATTAGCATAGGTGTCAAATGATTCAAAGGATTGGCACTGCTTTTAATGCTTGGACTTTCAGATTTCCCTAGTGATTGTTGCATTACTGTTGACTGGTCAAAGGAAAAAGGCAAGAGCAAACCATGCTGCTCTCTGGCAGAAGTGTCAGTCTGCAACTTCTCCATTCTCTCTGGATTGGGATACGGAGCGGCGGGCTGTTCCTTTGGTATGGAGGTTCCAAACAGTTCCTCCAAAGTCAGATGCTTCTGCCTTGACTGAAATGGCTAGAAAGAAGGGAAAATGAAGTTTTTAGTTAAGAAATATACATACCACTGTGCACCTCACACAGTCTATTACAATTTCAAGAAAACTATGAAAGACAACTAGGTCAAATGCACTTAAAATACAGTTTGGATATCAAGTGTGCTCTATTTACAGGAATTTTGAAATAAATTTAATTTACAAGGAACATGCTGTCTATGTAAGCTTTTTCTCTACAGCCTTCTATAGACAGACTGCATGCTGGTAGTAAAGGAGGGGGAAGGCTATGGGTTCTGTCATTAAGATGGTACTTGCCATCATTGATCAGCCCTAACTACACAAGGCACTTTGGGGCAGGGAGGGGGAGAACATACATACGTGTTGAACAAAACCCACACAGAATTTATAGAGTTGAAAAGAATTAAATGGCCTAAAAGATGGGAAAGGAATAGAGAAACCTGAAGGCACACAACTGATCTAGCAATACATGCCTAGACTTCTCATTAACAATGCAATCGGCGGTACAACAGGTAAAAGAATCTGTATAAACCTAAACATACATGTGTGTATATATGTATGTATCCTTGAAAAGCACACACACACAGTTACATCTACTAGTCCCTTAGTCTCTCCCAGAAATATACAGCTAGCCTACAGCACTGACATTGTTAGAATAATCTGATTTTAAGGATATAGTCTTCTTAACATTTTGCTGAAAATGTTTAAAAATGCATTTCACTAGAGAGAAGAGAAAAAGCTATTAACACCTTTAATCTCAAAATTTTCCTGGGTTTTTTTTTTTTCGTTTTTTTTTTTCTTTTAGGTTGCACAGGACCAGAAGTTATGTAAAACAGCTGGACTAAAATACAACATTCTGTTCAGAAGACTGAATGGCCTGCAGCACAATTCCAGTGTATTTTGATGGTATGTCTAAACAAAGATGCTATTTTACAATGACAACTACTGTACCATGACATCGCTCTAATTTTACCAGCATAAAAAACAACAGTGGAAGTATGGCAGCACAGGTAGCATGCAAGTAGCCTAACAAAAAAACCCCTTGAGCTTGAAATCGTATTGACTTCTGCCCAGGTTACTAATCTCTCCTGCCATTGTTATTAATTTTTAGCTAGCTTAAAGTCAGGCACACTTTCATTTTGCAGCTGAGACATTCTATAGTTTATAAAATTTGTTAATTATGTTAGGAATTCTTCCTAGAAAGTTGTTCTTACTTTGCTCCATTGATCTTACTGTTCTGGAGACCTGTCCTTCAACTGTAAAGATTCCATTAAGAGAAAAATCACTATTCTATCTTATATCAAACTCAGCTTTTCACTTCAGTATGACAAATTAACTAGCTTTCCTTTATTAATACATTACGATGTTCAAGTAATAAACAGAAATCTCTAGCATGCTCTGATTCAAGTCAGACTAGCCCCTTTTGTGGATACTGTCTCAAACATGAAATTAATTTCCAGCCTGAAGTATAAAACACATCTTTTGCCTGTCCCAACTCTGGCTGGGGTATATTTTGAGCATATCATCAACTCAGTGTGTTATGAAGACCCTTATCAGCAGAGGCTACAAAAAGGCACTTTACTTGATAGCAACAGAGTGCTGTTCCAAGGGTTTCTCCAGAAATCATTTCAGATGTATTGAAACATGAGTTAGCAGCCAGAGCTGGCACTATAAAGTTTAATTTTGGTGTTCTAGTTCAGTTTTGCTGAACACTGGCACAAAAGCATTTCATGATACAACTGGTTTTCATTTTGAACTGCCCAGAATAAAAAACTTGAACTTCAGAATATCACAGAGAAAGCATTTTCATTCCCAAGTCTGTGATATCTTTACTATTATATATGCATTATATATATATACACACACACATACACACACACTAGTACTACCACTACTACAGTGTGTTTTGTTTACAAGTGCAAGGTTGCACACATTTTCATAGGGCATTTCATTTTGCAGACACGGTGGTTCGGTGGTTTATTGCATCAGAAACACAACTGTAAACTATGGCAAAGAGAGAAGGCAGGCCTTGCAACTTAACTCAGTGAGGTATTTTCCAAGAACCACCACTGCTGACCTTTCCACACCCACGGGGTGGCACTGTAAGCAGGCCCAAGTTACTTCAGTGTTACAGGGAATTTAGTTATTGCAATTTTTTAAAATTTATCTCTAAAGTCTTGTATGACGCTACAGCTTCCTTGTGCAGAAACGCTTACTAGAAAATGGAGTCAAATACTGAACTATTGCTACCTATTCCAGCCACTCCAGTGATAACACTAAGCACAGGTTTCCCATGGTTCAAAGACTACATGAAGCTGAGGTTATTTTCACTAGTATTTTTACTGTAGTTTAAACTTTAATTACAGTAGTAACACCAAACTTCAGTATTTGTAGATATTTGGATACATGCTGATTCAACATGTTGTACCTACCACTTAAAATTCATACTACTACAATTTGAGCAACATCCCTCCCCAACTGCACTGACTTTTTTTTTTTACCAGTATTTCCCTTCTGCAGAGGAAGGCATATACTGTCAAAAAGCTCTTAACATAAGGAGAAAAAACCCCAAACAATGCTCTTCCACCTAGCCCCAAGAAAACAAAAAAACCACAAAGCAAACCACACACACCTTTTTCCACAATCCAAGTATGAATGAATCAGCTAAGCAGACTGGTATCATTACCAAATGGTCATACCAGCAGAGGTTCAATGCAAGCTACAGAAAAGTGGGAGAAGATAGGTAAATATGCTTTCACTTACACCAAAGAGAATTTGGTGCTGCTATGACTGAAGCATTTTCCATTTCTTGGTTAGCAATTCACTGTTGATTTAGGTTAGCAGGACTGTAGCTGTAGCTTTGAAGGCAGCATAGACAAACCTTAAGTAACCACAGACTGACTTCTTCCAGAAACCAAGTTAGCCCATTTAAACATACTTGGATATTCACAGTAGTGTGGACATAGCCTCATATTTTTAAATGGCCAGTCAAAAGACAGAATTTGGAATCCAAAAAGGCTTCAAACCCATTGGTTTATTTAAAGCAATAAAACATACAGCAGACAACTGCAGGCATTCTAAGAAAAAAAATATTTTGGTACCAAAACAAAGTACTAAACAAACAACAACAACAACAAAGTAGCACCTTACCTAGGACTGGATGAAACATACCTGCTCTGGCACTTGTAATGAAGTTTTTTGTTCTGAAGGCTCTGTGCTTTCTGGCTTTGGAGGATTTGCATTTTGTTGCATTCCAGAACTTGATACAATACTTAAATCACTAATCTGATTCTGGGAGAGGGGGAAAAAATAATAAAAAAAAAATTAACACTAATACACTTACCCACTACTACAATCCCGTGTACATGGCACTGACTGAAATACAGATGACGTACAGAGTACTGATTTTTGCAAGACACTGAGGTATTCACAAATTTTAGGAAATAAAGATCATTCCAAAACATCCACCATGTGTTGTGTAGTCAAAGCTTTTACTCATTATTATTAAAAAAATATGACAACTGGCTTCATACTTTTTTCACCAAGAAAGAAAATTACAAAAAAAAAAAAAGTAGGCTTTTCACATCCTTTGTCTATGTTTGCTGCTAATGAGGAAGTTTGCTACACATCATTAAATCAAGAACTGAAACTAGAAACAGCTTAGAAAAAAAAAATCCTGTCAGAAATCATTCTCAGTGCCTGGGAAAGGAGCTTCTCACAGACTTACTTCCACCAGATTTAATTAACCATGTACATATATTTTCAGAAGGTGCTAATCTGGTTTTCTGTGAACAAGGCAAAACCAGACAAGAGCATTGCATTGTAACAGTATGTTTACAGATCGAGTTGACTTTAATGTATATATACATAAACAAATATAGAAACTAAGTTACAGTTTAAATCACCAGCGAAAAAACACAAACTGTTGAGCAGTCTAGCTTTCAGTGGGTAAACTATACCTTATGCATATGACATAGCTGAACATTAACACAACACATGATGATTACTCTGGTCACTTACCCACAGCAACAAAATACAGGTTAAACTTTTTAGCAACAAGTTAAACAACAGTCTGAGCTTTATTATTCTTTTGTTTTCAATTTCTAATTCAAAGCAATAAATAGAAACCCAAGACTATGTATAGTGACTTAGGGACAGAGGAGAGAAGCCACTTCTCCCATCTTTCTGACTTTTAGCCACTAACTTGGAGGTCAAAACTCTTTCTGCCGGAAATACTGGATGCCTTGTGGTTACAAAAAAAAAATCAGACAAAGCATAGTTTTCTTTTCACTAGAGGATGAGCTGCAGTATGCTTCCATGCTTATACTGAAACACACACACAAAACACCACACTATAAAAAGCATCAATTCACTTCATTAAAAAAAAAAAAACAACAAAGTCTCAGAATTCATTCATTTTCACATATGGACTTGATGTAGTGAGTACTTGGAAGGATTAAGCTGATTTGGAATCCTAGATTAAATCACTCAGACCTTCATAAATCTCTTTTTCACTCTCTCTCTGCCCCCTTCTCATGCTGACACTCTGCCAATCTCATGTGGGCCGCACACAAGGATTACTGTATGATCCATCTGGAATGTACCAGGCAGATAAGTACTTTCTGCTCCTAAATACAAATTCATGCGTAATTACTGAGTGCCATAAAATAATTTTAAAAAAAATAAAGACAGGAAAGGTCTCTCAAGAAGCTATCTTCAAAACAAGTCGGTTACTTAATCATGTTAACACTGACATACCTTGGCTACAAGAAATACCAAAATTAACGTGCCAGAGGTTTGTTGCTAAAGTTGAGGTGGTCAACAGAACATTATCCAAAGAAGTTTGCTTGAAATGTGACCAACATTGCTTGATTCTGTTTATCTGGCAACTTCTACATAACTACGGCTATGGGATTATGTTGAACAGATTCAGTTTACATACACACACACAAAAAGGAAATTAAATAACTATTCTAGTTTTGCTAGTATTCTAAAGGCATCAACAAACAAGCACACACACACAATGACAACAACTAATCAAGATCAGGACACAAACCCCTTAATTATATAGTAGCTCTGCTGTACTCCATGCCCTGCTTATTTCCCTATTGTATTACAGGCACCACAGACATTGACTGTCCACCACAAAACACGCATACCATTGCCTGTTTATTAGAATTTTACTTTGGTCTACAGAGCTTCATCCATGATGCTTAGGAACTTCATTTCTAGCAAAAGCTTTTCAGTACTTTCACGTGAAAAAAATCTGAAAATTAGGAGAGAAGCTGGAATATCCTTTCTGAATCATTTTTAAGAGCCATCTGTTAGAAATGTGTATTATCCAGTACTGCAAGGACAAAGAGGGAGAAAAGCTTCATCACACCCTAAGAGGGCACTACCAAAACAGCGAGTTCTTGTGGTGTGTGGGTTTTTTTTTTTTTTTTTTTGCCTTTTTTTTCCTCCCTCACAAAAAGCTTTCAATTTCTTCAGATCCATCTCAATTGATACAACGTTGAAAGAAGAGTCATTCAGGTTTTGATGCTTCCTTCTGTGCTCTCACAAAAGCTGCTGCTTGCACAATGCTGGCCTTCATACAGATGCCTTCTCCCCAAACAGCATGGATGCTCAGAGAATCAGAAGGTTTTTTTTTTTTAAATCTGTATTTAAAATGTTCAAAAACTGCATTACTAATTTTCAGAAATGAGCATCTAGCCTAGGTCAAATATATTGTACAGTCTGTCACATTCACCTGCCCTCAATCTGTGTCAGAAAGTGACAAGTTAAGTGGCTCATACAAAGCTTAATCCAAGTGCTCATTCTTTTCTGCTCATCCCACATTGTACTGTAACAATCTAGAAACCTACAAAGACTCAAATCCCAAGTACTTGATGGAACTCTGCTGTGACCTACTGCACAAGCAAGTTCTGAAAGGAATCAAAGCACTCTACTAATGTGGTAACTCTTCTCCCAACAGTACAACACCAAAAGCCATACCACAGCTCTGCAATGTTACACTCACACATTACTTTACATTCTTGTATTATTATACCTGGGGACATTCAGAATCTTTGTTTTCTTTTTTGGATCTCCCACATATTACCCTTATATTTGTCCTGCATGTATTAATTTGGTCCTTAGGACTATATAAAGTAATTATTTCCTAAGAGGACTAATAATCTCCTTCTTATGTAAATTTGTGAACTTAGCACTGGCAAAAGATACCAGACTCACCCTTCTGAAATCAATTAATTTATTGGAAGGCTAGACACAGAGTAGACAGGACAGAAGTAGTAAACCAGGGAACAGAAGGACAGGGGAACGGTATTGTTATACTTAGTCTATAGCTATTAAAAATATGATTCATTGAGTCTACAAATATACTGAATGACTAAATCTCTAATCTCTAATACCACAAGACTTCTTTTGAGATGAAGAGACAGACGCTGTTGGGTACAATTTTATTTGCTATTGCCAGAAACAAGGTTTTCTTCACAGCAGTAGAAATTGTTGCAAGATGGGTCTATCAAGCTACATTTCAAGCTGGATCATGCCTATTCAACCTATCTTGCCCTGAAATCAGAGACTGTTCCCTAGAAAAGTGTACTCGAGGGAGGGAACAAGACATCAGTCTGAAAAGGAGGCTACTGAAACAATGGCAGAGAATGCCCACTCTAAACAAAACACAGCTGGTGCGTTAAAAACTAGTTTCCAGATAGGCTTTCTTAAAAACGAAAACCAGTGAAAAAGTAGGCAAAAAGTTGCCCACTAAGGTAATAATTACAGAAATGCAACTTACAAATTCATGCAACACACAAATCCCACACTATTTTAAAATATGAATTTTCCCCCACATTACCCCTTCTCTCACAGTCATTGTACATCTGTGCTTGTATCACAGACATGGGATAGTTCACAAAGTTTCTAGGCTTCTGTTCCATTATTCAAGATGCCAAAGTATTTTAGTGTGCAGCTCAGTGAATGCTCTTGATTATGGCATGAATCACAACAGACCTCCTGCAGTACAGAGGAAAAAACTGAAAAACCAAAGTGTCAGCTACTGTAAGGAATATGTACAATAACGGAACTTCAAAATCACAAAGCCAGACATGTTCAGTGCTATGTTCTTCTACAGCGTTACATATATACCTATTTGTTCACATTTCCCTTGGCAGTGATCTCACAAAACAAGACAGTAGACAAGTACTGAGACTAAGCAGCCCATGCACCTATTTTAAAAAAAAAATTTGTTGTGTCTGCATCTCCAGATATCTGTTTTTAAAATTCTATTTCCCCCCCACTGAAGGTAGAAATTCAAACATAAGAGTATACAGGCCCATTAAATTATGGGTTAGGTGCACTACTTTGCAATCTTGGGTTAGAGTATATTGCACAAGACAATTTAGTATATCAGAAATTTCCTCTAGCATCTCTCTCAGAAATCACAGGGCATGCTATTTCAGTGGACTCCATATGATGTCCTAAGGCCCTTATTCAGAAGTACTGGTTTTATCTGTTCATTGAGAAGCAGTGGGGAGAAAAAAACAAAGACATTTCCTTACTCGTTCGTATTCATCCTTGGCTTTACTAAGCATTTCCAGGATGTCAATGGGCCTGTTTTCATTCCAGCCATTGGTTCTGCTGGGACTTTTTCTGTCCTGGGAAACTTGCTGTGATCTCTGAGCTTCTTGTTCTACCACTCTACAATAGGAAAGGAGAAACAGGATTTTAAAATTTTAACTGGAGTTAACTTCTTGCAAAAAAGCAGTAAAGAAAAATGTACTCCCAGCATATTAACACATTTTATTCCACCTGTATAAAAATCTAAGACATGGTTGACCAAAGTTACACTAGTTTTCATTTGCTACAAGGTTTATACAAATCGAACTGTCAAATGGTCTGCATGATTTATCTCTAATCCAGACAGCACGGGCCTGTCTCTTACAAAGTTTACCTACAGTAAACACTACTTCTGTAACACTGTCATATTTAGACATTTTTACAATAAAATATGTGGACATTCAAGCACATGTTATACAAAGAGCACATATATTATACCATAGACTGAGTAGAACCAATTTTTTACTCTTTACTTTCTAACATGCATTTTTTCCATATTTCACCAAATCAATTATTCAATGAAATCAGTTACAAAACAGTTCTAAGTTAGGATAAGGCCTACCATTATACAACAAAACAAAGACACTGGGAAAGAAGAACTCGCTCACATCAGTTGTCTCTGGAGTCAGTCTGCAAGGAGGCTTAGAGCGTTACCCCTCACTCCCCCACTTCAGGCTCCGGAAAGA